GGGGCCTGATTTTCTCAGGTACGGAAGTTGAGTAGCTATTTTCCAACTCGCTTCAGGATAGTGGCAGAGAAAGAGGGAAGAAACCAGGGCAGCAGGTGGGGTGGAGGTGAGCCGACTAGGGAGGCTGAAGCTGTTAGATAATGAAATTGCCCCGGAGGGAGGTGGACCCTGCAGTCCCAGAGAGCAGGGAGACCACTTCTCCCTTTCTTTGGGATGGGAATTGAGGGGTTCCTGAGAAGGAAAAAGGAAGAAACCGAGTTCTTGTCCACTCGACTCAGGGAGGCCCCTATGGCGGTTCTCTGGCCCCTCTGCCCTGCATCCCCAGTCCTGGCCCTGCTCTGCCCCCCTCAGCTCCTGCCGCATCTGTGGAGACAATCTGGGAAGAACACAGCAGTTAGGATTCTGCTTCAGTGTCCCAGACCTGGCAGAGGTCCACCCAGGGAGCGATGAGGGGGTTTGGGTGGGGAGGAGGCATACTTGGTGGGGAAAGGGCCAGGGCATTTCCAGGGCGAGGCCTGGGGGTGTGGGGCATGGAGAAATGCCAGAAAGGGGGTGCCTTAGGGGATGCTGTTGGATAAAAGCAGGCTCCCAGGTCAGTTGATTCCACAGCTGCAGTGAGAAGTCAGATTTGCAAATAATTATGGTGGCTGCAGTGGGCGATTAGGCTGCCAGCTGGTGTTGGCACCATTTAGGCTGGGAAGGGAGGTTGGCTTGCCTGGGGGCCGGGGGGGATGCTCAGAGGCTCTCTGGCAGGCAGGGCCTGGGGCTAGGGAAGTTTTCCTTTCTTTTCCATCCCTTGCTGCCCTGCTCCCTGCTGGTTGGCTTTTGCAGATCTGCTTGGCACTGTCTCCCTAGTCCTCTTCTCTGTGCCTACCTTGTTTGGAAACTTCTTGGGGCCTGGGCCAAGTAAGCACACATGCCAACAGTGTTGCCAAGCTCCCCAGACCCCGAGCACCCCTGTACCAGACAGTGGCTTCAGCAGTTCCAATCAGAGAGACACATGATCAATCAAGTTGCACCAGACACCTCAGAGACTTCTCTGTCCCTCCTGTTCTCTCCCCTTCTGCTCTTCTTGGGGATGCCAAGAAAATTTGCTTTGACTGCAGTAAAAAGGATTGAAAATAGATATGAAAGAGAATTTCCTGGGAAGTTCATGGAGGTTAGAGTGTGACCTCTGTCTGATAAGGAAGCAAGCCTCCTTCTTTAAGCACTGGGTTAGAGCTGATGGGGGGAGGGTGGTGCAGTGAGCCCATGTGAAAGGATGAACTATAGAATGGGGGAAACTGAGGCCCAGGCATCCTCCTTCCCTAGTGCCTCCACTTCACGTCCTGACCTGGAGACCATAAGGTTGCAGAGGAGGAAACTGATGCCCAGAGGTAGCTGGTAAGATGCAGGGGCAGTGCTGAGACCAGACCTGAGTCCTGCTGGTTCACAATCTCCCGCCACCTCGTCATACCTGCAGTCGGTCCCTTGCCACTCTTCTAATTCACTTTCCCATTCCAGGCCACCTTCAGCATCTGTTGGGCTCCCCGGCAGCAGGGCATCTGCTGGGAACATCTGTTAGGATGTGGTTTGGAGGGCCGGTGGGGTGGTACATGTGCAGGTGGTTAATTAGCAGAATCATATAGGGTAGATGGGGTGGAGTGTGGACACGTCTGGCCTGGGTACTGGGAGAGCCTCTTCAGTGTGTCTTCCTCTGACCTTCTCGCTCTCCCCTCCCAACTCCTCCATCTCTCAGTGGCTGAAGTCTGAGGGAGAGGTGACTCACTTGTGTTCTGGGCTGGGACTTGGGACACCTGGGTTCTTATTAGACTGGGCTGAGGCCCAAGCTGCTTAGACATTCCCTTCCCTGTGTGATGTGAGTTGTGCTGGGCTGTTGCTAGGAACACCTGTTAGAAACGGCTTCTGGTCACAAGGCAGAGGGGGAGCTGTCTTCAGACACAGGCATGGGTGGAAGCAGACTCCACCACCCTCAGAGTGTCCCCAGGGTCTCTCCTGCAGCACCCTTCAAGGCCCCTCTCCTTTCCTCCCTGCCCCCTTAGGCCTCCTGCCCCTCTTCCTATCTCCCTCCACTCTCCCGGGCTCTGCCCCACCCCCACTATCTTCCAGTCTTCTCCAGACCCTGGCCGTCCAGTCCCCTTTCCCTAGCCCCAACTCCTCTGTCCAGGGCCTAGAGATCTCTCACCACTGCTGCCATGTCAACAGTGCTTCCCAGGATGGCACTCCAGCTTTGCCACGAGGGGGGCTATTTTTATCTCTGGAGCCACCCCCGCCACTGTGCCCAGCCAGCTGCCAGAGCTGGGGCTGTTGTATAGCACTGGGAAGCCAGGGGGCGAGGGAGCAGGAATGGGAATGCTCCGGTGAGGGGGAGCGCGGGCTGTTCTTGGTTTCTGGGACTGCGTGCTCTGCGTCCTCCCGTTTCTGCTTCTGCTGTCTCCATGGCCCCTCTGGAATCAGAAGTCATAGAGAAGCCTTATGCATCTGGAGGTGTGGTATCAGGGAGACTGGAGCTTTTCTACAAATATCCCAGGTGACATTTGAGGCCTGAATGGAAAATCAGGGATCCTGGGCACAAGGGTAGGCATATAGGGTTTTGTTTAATGAATATTTGCTGATGGTGGCTCATGCCTGTAATTCCAGCATTTTGGGGAGGTTGAAGTGGGAGGATTGCTTGCGGCCAGGAGTTTGAGACCCACATGGGCAAAAGAGTGAGACCTCGTCTCTACAAAAAAATAAAAATAAAAACAATTAGCCGGGTTTGGTGGTGCATGCCTGTAGTCCCAGCTACTTGGGAGGTTGAGGGGGAGAATCGCCTGAACCCAGGAGCCTGAGGCTGCAGTGAACTGTGATTATGTCACTGCGCTCCAGTTTGGGCAACAGAGACTCCAACTCAAAAGAAAAAGAAAGAAAGAATTGGACTAAATAATAATCCTTTGCAGTCATGTATCATTTTATGTTTTCCAAGTTGCTCTCATACAATATCTTACTAGGTCTTCGTGAAAATTCTATAAAGCCTGTATTATTTGCCCATTTTACAGATCAGGAAACTAGAGCTCAGAGTGCCTTGCCCAAGGTCATACACTGTGATAAAGTCTAGGCAAAAGTCTCCTGATTAAATGAAAAGGCTAAAGGCAAATCCATGCTGGACCCTTTGCTGAGGTCATTGTATCTATGTCCTGCCTCCTAGTCAAGTGACAGTCTTTTAGCTTAGAGAGAGGCAGAATGTGGGGGGTGTGTGTATGTATGTGGGTGAGTATGTATATGTGAAATTTATTCCCCTGGAAGGGGTGGTGGTTGACCAATATCCCTTATTAGGAATAGTAGGCCAATATTAATAATAGTAGGCCAGAGTGAACAGTGCTGTGAGCGTATGTGGGGTGAGGTGGTGAGAGGTCATCTGTCCAGCCAGTTTTGCTTCTGGGCAAGAGAGCAAAGCGTGAGCAAGACATCCTTTTCAAGGTGTTTCTAGTCCAAGAAACGTCTACCTTTCAGCAGGAGGGTTTGGTTAGTGCTTACTTGGCTGGAGTAGCAGGGCCTGGAAATTGGGGACGAGGCAGGGAAGCTAAACTGGCTTGGAGGTTGCTGGTGTTTCAGGCGGTGTACTACCACTGACCAGTCCCATCCCTCCAAACATCCTGTCCACAGAACAGGCCAAATGACTCGACCCTCATTTCCTGGGGGGCAGTTGATTGTCTCTAACACTGGTCCTGGTCCTTGAAACCATAAATCCGCTTGTGGTAGTGGTGGGAAGGTGGTGGAGGGACATAGAGAGAGTGGGTTTCTTTCCTCCAAAATCTGCAGCCTTCCTGCTTCCTGGCTACCAGGTGTTCACTAGAGAACAACTTGTAGGCATTTAACCTCCCTTCCTCCTGTTGCTGTGGAAGCCCACTTCCACCTGTCCCAGCACTCAGTGGAGCTGAGAAACAGCAGGTTCCCAAACTTCATTTGTTTATAATCCTTCAAGGCTTTGGCACGATGACAAGGTATTTTAATTTCTCCCTGCCTTTGAGGGCCAGGGGTGAGGGAGAGACTTCCCGTCATAAAATCCTAGCTCTCGGCCTGCTTCTTCTCTTTCTCCTGTCATGCTCATCCCCACGAGTCCCTTTTCCTCGTCCCCTGTCCCAGACCTAGATCTAGGAGGCTGCAGACCCCCAAACTCTTTTGACTGCCTGCGTTGGGCCGCACCGCCGGCCCTCTCCCTTAACCCCGCCCAGCCCCTGAGCTGACCAATCGCAACCCGTGTGCTTGTGTCGGTGATGTCATCTCACAGCCAATCCGAGGCGGCGGGGCCTTGTGCGCACGTCCACTTCACTCTGGCTGCAGAGGCCGGGGCTTTCCTTTCCAGCCCGGCGAAAGCAAAGTCAGGAGGCAGGAGAGGGGGTCCTGGTCCCCAGGTCTCTCCTGGGTGCCTCTTTTGACCCCTCCTGGCCCATCCATTACTTCTCCCTACCTCTGAACTGAGTTTACCTCTCTCTAGTTAATTTCAATTTCCGATGTGCCGATGAGAACACTGGGGCTGGGCGTGTTAATTTACCCAACCTCTTGGTTACTAGGAGCAAGTTCTCCTGATTTTCATTCACTGCTTTGGAGGGCTGGGGGCTTCCCTCCCTGTTGAGCCGGTCTTTGCGTAAGGATCCCTCGACTCCTGGCTTTAGCAAGCTCTTCCCTTACAGTTTCTAATTCTCTGTGGGAAGTTTAACCTTCTGTCTTGCTTCCATTCTTTCAGGTGGGTTAAAGCTCATTTTGAAGAATGGCCCCCGGAAAAAGACAGAGAGAGCAACAGCTGGCGACAGCTGAATCTGCTTAGCCCCTTTTGGGGGTACTTGCAGGGCCCCTTCCCCTCCCACCACAGGCTTCCTCTCCCTGACAGATTCAGGATGGTTCCCTGTCCCTGCACCCTTAAGCCTTTTACTAGCCCCTTTTCCCCAAAGAGGAGCCCCACCTCCGCAGAGCAAGGGGCTGGCCCATGCTATTTCTGTCCCTTCTGGGATTCTTCTGAGAACAGATTCTTGTTTTCAGTCTGATTGGGATGTGAAACTCTTCCTGAAGCCTCTCAACCAGTTCCGGTAGGCTGGGTCTCTGCCTCTTCGCTCTCTTCTTCCTCCAGCCAGGCCCCTCCCCACAGTTCTCTCTGGTCACTTGCTCAGTTCTGCTGGGACCTGGAGGAGGAAGGCAGGGGCCAAAAGAGGGAGTTGGTCCCCCTTAGGGGCCCTGGGGCCCTGGGGTCAGCATTTTGAAACTCTGAAGTAGGAAACTTTGATTCCCATGGCAAACCCTGTTCCTGTTCAGAGGAGCCACCTCCAAGGTCCCATCCTCAGGTAGGTGCCAGGGATGAGGAGAGGAAAGGAGGAAGGCAGGTTGCTCAAAGATTCACCAGTTGCAGTTCGGTGGAGGGGAGGGACCAAGACCTGGCAGTCCCCATACGCTGTGTATGTGTGTGCCAATGTCACCTTTCCCTCCACCCATCTTGCCCCTCACCTCATTCTCCTCTCATTTCCATCTTTCTTTCTTTCCCTCTCTTCCTCTCCCTCTTTCTATTTATTGTAGAGGTAAAGTCTCACTATGTTGCCCAGGCTGGTCTTGAACTCCTGGGCTCAAGTAGTCCTCTTGTCTTGGCTTCCCAATGTGCTGGGATTACATGAGTGAACCACTGTGCTCCGCCTCCCTTTCTTTTTTTTATAGTTTCTTCTTGACTATGGCAGGTGACTTAGCGGTATTCCTCCCTTTCTCTCCTTCCTGGCTCCCAGCATCCTTAGGACCTCACATCACTTTGAAATTTTCTCTTGTCTTGAGAATACAAACTGGAAATAGAATTTTCCCTTGACTTCCAGCCCCCTGGCTTTAGGCTGCCCTGTCTTGAGTCTCTTCTTAGGATGATCTTTTTGGGAGTGTGGGTGCTGGAAGTGGTGGCAGAGGGCTTTGGAAATTCCCAGAACATCAACTGTGTGATGGTCCTCCCTTCTAGATGGCCTCCTAGTGTTAGGAGAGACTGTGGTCTTCCCCGGGTCGAGACCTGAGACTTTTAGTGCAGAGATGGAAGATAAAAGAGAAAGAGGCGATGGTGGTGAGAGAGCAGAAGGGCCGGAGTGGAAGGAAAGTTAGGGGGAAGTTCCTGATTTTCTTTGGACTGGACAGAATTGAGCATCCTCTTCTCCAGGGAAAGGGATCTTCCTATGCCAGATCCTCCTAGGCTGATCCAGAAGGCTGGTGGAAAGTCGATGTGGGTGGAGAGGGGAAGGACTTCCTGCAGAAGCACCAGGAGTGCAGACATGGGTGGGTCTAGAGAGACCCAGACTCTGAAGAACTTTAGAATAAGAGAGGCCCCTGCTGGACCAGAAAGCTCTGTGTGTGTGTGTTTGTGTGTGTGTAGTGTGTGTGTGTGTTTGTGTGTTCAGCACCTGGATCCTTTCAGAGACTGAGTCCTGGTCCTTCTCTCTGGCTTCTCATTTGTCAAATTTATCCTTTACTCTTTCTCTCCCTCCCTGCCCCCCTTGCTCTGATGTCTGGATCATGTTTGGTTCAGATTTCAACAGAAGCTCTACAGGCGCTCCTGGACAGGATCTGGAGGTGAGGGAAGGAGGAGCATGGGGGCAGGCGGGTGCTGGAAGTCAGCCACAGGCCCTCTCTTTTCGGGCTGCCGACAGTGCTGCAAAAACCACGACTCAGAAATCTTAATCGTGCGCTCTGGGAGATAGGCTCACACCTGATTAATTGTCCCCTTTCCCTTTTATTTATTTAATGAATTTTACTGAGCACGCACTGTGTGCTCTGAGGATAGAAGCCAAGAAAAACAAGTCATTGTCAGCACCATCAAGACACTCACAGCCTCCTGTGGGCCAAGAGACACAATTAAGGCTGGGCTGGCTGAGGCTGAAGAAAAGGTGATAGAATGGATCCCCGCCTCTCTCTGGGCTCATGGTGCCATTGGACTTTTTCCTGCCCTAATGCCTTCATCGTTAGCTTGAGTTGTAGGCCTTGACAGCCCGACTGAGGAAGACAAGATGTGTGACTTTGGACAAGTCACTTAGCCTCCCTTGTAAGGTGTTTGTGAGCCTCAAATGAGGCTTGTGATTTTAAAGGACAGATCACAGCCATTATTGTTCTCCCGCATCTCTGTTAGGGTCTTTCTAATGACCAACCTCCATCTGAACTAGACTCAATCTCCTCCACTTGGACTTGGGAGAGAGAAGGCCCTTGCTGGATTTGAAGGGAGGGTGGTGTGAGCCGGGTAGGGCCCATATGCTGTTGGTCAGTCAAATCTCATTCTAATCCCATTTATGGAGACCCTTTGTGTGTGCAGGCCTTTTGGTTGTATTATTTTATTTAATCCCCTTGGGAATAGCTCTGTGAGACTGGTTATTATTATACTCACCATTTTACAGATGAGGAAATCGAGGCTCCAAAAAATAAAAAACTTTTCAAACTTAAGTTACATTAGAACCATCTGGGATGTTTGGTAAGAATGCAGCTCCTTGGACTGTACCCTCCAAATTCTGGTCCAGCAGGTGTGGAATGAGAACTAGAATCTCTATCTATCTATCTATCTATCTATCTATCTATCTATCTATCTATCTAATCATCTATATTTTCTGTCTCTCTCCCACGCTGGAGTGTAGTGGCACAACCATAGCTCACTGCAGCCTCGAACTCTGGGTTCAAGCAATCCTCCTACGTGGGTCTCCTGAGTAACTGGAACTACAGACAGATGCATGCCACCACACCTGCCGAGTTTTTAAAATTTTTTGTAGCAATAGGGTCTCACTATGTTGGCTAGACTTGTCTTGAACTCCTGTGCTTAAGCCATTCTCCCACCTCAACCTCCCAAGGTGCTGGGATTACAAGATGTGACCATGAGGCTCTGATATAATCTGTATTTTTGACATGTATCCAAGAGAATTCCAATGCTGGTAGTCTACAGGGCTCATTTTAATAAATACTGATTGAGTTAGGGACTTGACCAAAGGCTCACAGCAGAAAGTGACAGCTTTGAACCCAGAATTCCTGTCTTCAGCCTGGGGCTGTTGCTCCATACACCTCACAGCTGCCTCCTGAGCCTCGATTTCTGGATTTCTGCATTGTAAATGCGGCCAGTAGCTCCTTCCCTGCCTCCCTCCCTCATATGTCCATTGTGAGAATAAAATGAGATAATGTAGGAGAAAGCACTTTTTAAAATGTAGAGATGGCAGCATTGTTAGCTATTATGCAAATGCATGCAAATGAAGCCCGTGGGTGTGGCTGTTCACTTTGGGAGACTGCTGGCATGTGAGTTTCAAAAGGTTGGTCAGGGCCAGGAGCCTGTAATCCCAGCACTTTGGGAGGCCGAGGCAGGTGGATTGCGAGTCCAGGAGTGCGAGACCAGCCTGGCCAACAAAGTGAAACCTCGTATCTTTAAAAAAAAAAAAAGTAGGGTGGTGCGTGCCTGTAATCCCAGTTATTGGGGATGCTAAGGTGGAAGGATCACCTGAGCCCAGGATGTCGAGGCTTTCATAAGCTGTGATTGTTGTGATCATGCCACTGCACTTTAACCTGGGTGACAGAGTGAGACCCCCCTACTCAAAAAGAAGGAGATTGGTTGGGAAAGAAATTGGAAGAACTTTGGTGATGGTCATTGACCCCTGGTGGAGGAGTTTCTGGTTGTAAGAAGGGCTGAATGAAGTGGAAGCCTGGGATAGGGATGTGGGGGAGAGATGGGAACCACAGTCAGTAGAAGAGGCCTTCCTTTCTTTTCGGGTTCTCTGTCCCCAGATTCAAGGGCACTGGCCATGGGGACGGAGATCAGGAGAGGGAAACCTTGCTTGTGCCTGGGCTCCAGAGGCAGAGCGTACCTCTTTTGTTCTGTGATCCCTGAGTGGGTATGCTGGGAGATACTGGCTCTAGCCCCTTTCCAGCTCATTTGGCCGGGAAAGCCCTTGATGACGTCTCGCCTCTCTTCCTCTTCTCTAATGAAGCCAGAGCTGGGGCTGAGCCTCATTAAACCCATGCTCTTTCTTGTGAAACAACCCGCTGCTTCCACGTGGAGACAGTGCAGCAGGAAGGCTGGAGGTGAGATTTGAAGAGAGCCCACTGAGGGGACTGCAGCGCCGCCCTCCGACGTCTTTGTCACTTTCCCTTCTGCCCCATTTGCTCTTAGACTCATCGTCTAGAACTGCAGGGCCCCAAGGTGTGAGCTGGCCTGTGATGCTTCCTGGGGCTGGCTATTTTGGGTACCCTTCTTCCAAAGCCGCTGAGACCCCAGGATCCTGGAGCTGCTTCTGTTCAGGAATGTCGATTGTTCTCCCTCCCCAGGCATCCCTGGGAATTGATGCTAATTTCAGCCTCTGGTCCCTGACTCATTCTCTCTTCTTCTCCCTGACTCATAGAGTGACCTTGGGTTTCTGAAGCCCCTCTCTGTGGGAAATTGCGATGGTCACCATTTCACCCCCGTGTTGGTTGCAGGTGGAGTGGGGGCAGGGCTAGGGGAAAGAGAGAGTGAAATGTTTAATTGTGTTCATTAAAATCACTCTAAAGTCAGAGAGCTTTGCTTGCTTTGTGTCTCGGGGCTGGACCCGTCAGACTTCTAAGAAGCCTCCCTGTTAATCACTGGCCCCCAGAACTCCTAAGTGAAAAACACGAGGGGGTTGTCCCTTCAGGCAAAGCACCCAGTAAGTGAGATCCCTGGCTCCACTCCACCACTTTTGTCCTGGAAGAAGCTTCGGCTGGGACAGGGACAGAGGTTCACTGTGGTGCAAGACTGGGGAGTTAGGGGTTAACCTGGCTTTGCCCTGGTTGATGGATTCTGGAATCATAATCCATTAGCTCTGCCTGCATGGAGGGAGGCCAGGCAAAAAGCATTCAGATTTGTCTTTGTTCTGTGCTTTTGCTATCTCTGCTAGGGACAGAGGGGGCTGTGGACATGTACTCCCTCTTCCTGCTGAGACCAAGAGACAATGAAATGCTCTTGGGGGCTATTTTGATCGCAGTTGATCCCAAAGCCCTCTCTCATGGGGGAACTAAGTCATTTCAGCTCTTGGTTATTCCGAATATGAAACAGATCATCCTAAAAACACCACCCCAGGGGGCTTGTACCTGTTTGATTCTGCAGGGGCCCTGGCAGTTTAAATGACTAAACACTGACTAAAGGCGGGGTGTGGAGAGGTCAGATGGCGGGTGGGGATGGTGGGGCCAGGAACGCCGTCACACTCTGGCGGTAGATAAACTTTAATAGCACAGTGGCAACAACCCGAGGGAAAGAACATCCGCGGCTTATTATTATTACTGTTAGAATTATTAACTATTGATGGGAGACCAAAGATGCTTCTGTAAAGTGTGCCCTGTTAGAGAGTGGCCTGTTCTCAGGCCGGAGCGACTGGGCCTAAGAGTGGTTGTCCTGCTCCTGCAGGCTGCGCTACATGGTGAAGCAGTTGGAGAACGGGGAGGTGAACATTGAGGAGCTGAAAAAGAACCTGGAGTATACAGCCTCCCTGTTGGAGGCTGTCTACATCGATGAGACACGGTGAGAGAGGCCGTAGACAGAGGAGGGAAGACACCAGCTAGATAAGGTGTTCCAGGGATGGGGAGCAAGACAGCTGGAGACAGGGATGTGAGACGGGATGAGAAAGAGAGAGATGGGGCAGACAGAGAGCTCTGGGTAGAAATCTTGGCAGAGATAAAGAGGCTGAGGATGAACACAGAGGTGCAGAGAGAGAGAGAGAGAGAGAGAGAGAGAGAGACACATACAGATAGGAGGGAGAGAAGACCGTTCCAGACTTGGAGGGGACCTTAAAGCCCACCTGACCCTGCCCGTCCCAGTGTGGAACACGACAGGCCTGTGCTGCCCAACACAGGACCCACGGATAGCGCCGGACATGTGGCGAGTATGAATTGAGAGGTGCGTGTAAAATACACGCTGGGCTTCAAAGACTGAGAAAAAAGAGTATAAAATATCCCATTAATATAATGCATTGATTCTGTGTTGACATGATAATATTTTGGAGGTGTTGGGTTAATTAAAACATATCATTAAAACAAATTCCACCAGGCTGGGCATGATGGCTCAAGCCTGTAATCCCAGCACTTTGGGAGGCTGAGGTGAGAGGATTGCCTGAGCCCAGGGTTTCAAAACCAACCTGGGCAACTTGACAAGACTTTGTCTCTATAATAAATTAAAAAAATTTAGCCAGGCATGGTGGCACACGCCTGTATTTCTATCTACTTGGAAGGCTGAGGCGGAAGAATTGCCTGAGCCCAGCAGGTTGAGGCTGTAGTGGCTTAGAGCATGCCACTGCACTCCAGCCTGGGCAACAGAGTGAGACTCCAACTCAAAAAAACAAGAACAACAACAAAAAACACACAAAAACTCCACCTGTTCCTTTTAAAAAAATTTTTTTTTAACCTTTTTCATGTGGCTACTAGGCAATTTGAAATTTCATACATGTGGCTTGCCTTTTCATTGGGTAGTGCTGCTCTGTCGTGTCCCTGAAAGTCGGTATTCCATTGCCTGCTTGAATACTTCCGTGGCTGGGATGCTCACTACTTGACATAGTGACCTGTTTCTTGATTGGAGGGTGTTAGCTAGAGACACAGAAATAAAAAGGATACAGAAAAAGCAAGGAGAGGGAGGGCTGGAGACAGAGAGGGCTGGCTGGCCTGAGAGTTACCAGGGGTGGGGCGTGCCTGGGCATGGTCTCCAGGCTGTGAAAGCACCTACCTCTTCCCCTGTGACTCCCCTTCTGGGGTCCTAGGCAAATCTTGGACACGGAGGACGAGCTGCAGGAACTGCGGTCAGATGCTGTGCCTTCGGAGGTGCGGGACTGGCTGGCCTCCACCTTCACCCAGCAGGCCAGGGCCAAAGGTCGCCGCGCAGAGGAGAAGCCCAAGTTCCGAAGCATTGTGCATGCCGTGCAGGCTGGCATCTTCGTGGAGCGGTGAGGTTGCCTCACCCTCAGCCTCCCGCTGCCTCCCCCGGCCCCGCTGGCCTACCAGGACCCCACCGGTCATCAGACCCTGTGTGCCCACGGTCATCCCCAGAGCCCCACCTGGCCAGACCCTGGCTCCCCAGACCTTGACCCTTGGTCTTCCTTCCGCTGTTGTCTCGCAGGATGTTCCGGAGGACGTACACCTCTGTGGGCCCCACCTATTCCACGGCGGTCCTCAACTGTCTCAAGGTGATCACTGGCTTTTTGGGAAAGAGGAGTTTGGGGGATGGGACAGTCTCGATGGACTTCAGGACTCTGTTTATGGCATGATTTCTGCCTTCCCTGTTTACTGTTGTTCCCGTGTTCGTCAAAACAACTTTTGCCCACTCCAGAGGCCACCCCCTGCCTCCTGGTCTCTCCTGTACTGAGAGTGCTCTGGGAAGAAAGAGGCCCATTTCACCACCTTGTTGTTTACCTGCTTTCTAAGTCTCTGTGCTCATTGGGAAGTCCTCCTCCTCGAAGTCTAACTTCAGCCCCTGCCACTGCGGGGACGCAAACTAGTCCGTTGTTTCTCCACAGAACCTGGACCTCTGGTGCTTTGATGTCTTTTCCTTGAACCGGGCCGCAGATGACCATGCCCTGAGGACCATTGTTTTTGAGTTGCTGACTCGGCATAGCCTCATCAGCCGCTTCAAGGTTGGGCAGGATTCCCCACTCCTCTCATGCCTGTTCTAGAAGGCTCCAGACAGGTGGCATCCACGGGCTCCCTCACCCAGGCTCACCCTCAGGGAGGTCTCCCCCTCCCCCAGTCTAACCTTTCTTTCACTTGCTGCAGTCCTAGCTCCAGACTTCAGAGATGGGCTTTCTAGGGGAAGATTCTAGGTCTGTGGCTGCCTGCCCTGGGACCTGCTCCCTCCCCCTTTATTCTTTTCCCAGACATGCCTCCCCTTTTAGCCTCTCTGCCTCCTTTCCTTGGACACTGGAGGTTGAGGGAACAGATGCTTGTCAGCCAGTGCCCTTTGGGCCTGACAGTTTGTTTCCTGGGAGGGGTAAACATTCGTCACTCTCTGCTGCACCCGCAGCTCTGGCCTCTGTGCAAGTTTTGTGGAGACAGTCAGCTCTTTGCCGGGCTGGGGTGGACTGCGTGGGAGTGGGGGTTGTTCATCAATGCCATTTGCTCTGGGGCTTGGCTGGTCTGGAGGAGTCCTAGGGGGATTAAAGTCCCCTTCAGATACTTCACCAGGAGGGAGCATCTCTGGGGAGGGAATAAGCACCAGAATAACCACTCTCCCACGGAAAAACCACATTGGAAGTGGTGGGTGAGGGGGGCTGGAGCCACATGGGGATATTTGGTCAGCAGGCAATGTTAGAGGCGGAGTGTTTCGACGGGCGATAGAGAGGGCAGTCAGGGGAGTCCTCTTGGAGAGCTCCCCCCAGGCTGGACTTGAGTGGGGGGCATGCCATTATCCTCTGCCTCCACATCGCCATACTGTCTGTGATGGGCCCTTCCTGACCCCAGACTCCTCCTTCACAGCAGCTCCCAAGAGGATTTCCGAACGCCTTTCTGGGATTCTCAGTTGGGGCCTGTCCTCCTGCAGTTTCTCTTTCTTCTTCCAATCCTGCCCTTCTAGGACAGAGAATGGCAGGACCCTCTTTATCCTAAATTCCTCCCAGCTCATCTTCAGCCAAACTGACTTCAGATCCAGCAGGACTGGGCTCAGGGAACCCCAAGAGTAGCTGTGTTGGGTTGGGCTTGGCCCAACCCCAGTCTGGCTTGCTCCAGGCAGTTAGAGGAAGAGGGGGTGCTCATTACTTTGGTTTTCTCTGATGGTAGAGACCCCCAGTTGGAGCCACCCTTCTCAAACTCCCCGGTCTCTTTCCTGGGCACCTGGCCCCTCCCCTGCTCCTCCCTTTTCCTTCCCTTCCCTCCAGGGACGCCATGGCAACGCAAAAGCAAGGGCAGTTGTCATGGAAACAGTCCTTTAAAATTCCCTGAATTTGGGGCACAGCCCTCCAGGGGTGCGGGTGGGGGATGTTAGGGTCTGACTGGCTACTGGTGCATCTTCTGTGTCTCGTGTCCCTCTGTTGCTCACAGAAGCTTCCCCGAGTCCCGAACTTTGGTCCCCTTCCAGCCTCAGGAGATTGAGGCAGAGGTGAAGGCACCAGGCCTGCCCTCTGGAAGCCATAATCTTTTGGAAGGGGACAGCTACACCCCAAGGTCATAAACAGAGGCAGGGACAGAAATCAGAGTAATTGGACAGAGCTCTGCCTCCTGGTGCTTGTGTGTGTGTGGTGGGGCTGAGGATGGGGGGTGTCAGTGTGTTGGAGGGGAGGTGGTCAGGGAAGGCTTCTTGGAGGAGAGGGTGGTCCACATCTGGCTGGAAGTGTCCTCTCTGGCTCATCTTACTCTTTCCCCTGCTTCTGAGACCTTCTGCACACTCTTGGATTTGAGGATGGAGAGGGGTGCTTGGAAGGCAGGAGGGAAGCTTGTTTCCTTTTCTGAAAAATCTCCAGGGAAATAATAATAATCACAGCTATTCTTTAGAGAGCGTTTTCTAAGTTCCTTGTACTTATCTCATTAAATTCCAGGTAGGTGGTATTAACTTCATTCCACGGCTAAGTATTTGAGGTACAGAAACACGTGACTCGCCCAAGGTCACACAGCCGGGGAGTGGTAGAGCCAGGATGTGGGCCCAGGCCCATCTGACTGTGGTTCCTACGCGGTCCTTCCCCCACACTGCCGCCTGCTAAAGCCAGATGGGCTTGCCGACCCCGGGCCTCGGTGGTGGCCATTTCTGCAGATCCCCCACATGTCTCAGTATCCTCCTTCCTGCTGCAGATCCCCACTGTGTTTCTGATGTCTTTCCTGGAAGCCCTGGAGACGGGCTATGGGAAGTATAAGAACCCGTACCACAACCAGATCCACGCGGCCGACGTCACCCAGACGGTCCACTGCTTCCTGCTCCGCACAGGGATGGTGGTAGGTGCCTGGACCCCATGCTTCTGTGATCTGGGGTCTGCGGCCATGGCACTAGGGCTTCTAGACTATGCCCGGTTTCCATTTTTCTCTGTTTCTTCTTTGGTTCCCCAAAGCCTTTACAGAGTCAAATGGATTAACTCACTCTAGAGATTTCTCAGGCGTTCCAGAACTTCACTGGCAGTGCTGGGGACGCGTGCTGGGATGCAGAGGGGAGGCTGAGGTTGGGCTGGAGGAGGATTCTGGGCCACTCCAGGAGCTGAGACACCTCGCTGGGTTAGCCCAAGGGCCGCCTTGGAGAATGAGAGGGAGGGCGCAGTGTGTGGAGGTTCTGGCAGCAACCAGCAGGGGTCACCCTCTCCGGTCCTGTCTCTTTCCCCAGCACTGCCTGTCGGAGATCGAGGTCTTGGCCATCATCTTTGCCGCCGCCATCCACGACTATGAGCACACGGGCACTACCAACAGCTTCCACATCCAAACCAAGTGAGGGGCGGGGCGTGGCAGGGGCGGGAGGGGCGCGCGGAGGTGGAGGAGGTGGTTGCCAGAGCTCCTCCGCACAGGGGGCTGGACGTGGCGGCCTCTGGCTTTGCAGATCAGAATGCGCCATCCTATACAACGACCGCTCAGTGCTGGAGAATCACCATATCAGCTCTGTTTTCCGGATGATGCAGGACGATGAGATGAACATTTTCATCAACCTCACCAAGGACGAGTTTGTGTGAGCAGAAGCCAGTGTCTGGCCGCCCTGGGAGGCTCCCCTATCCCAGTCCTGTTTCCCTACTTACTGGGCCTCCTGTCTCGTGGTGCTGAGGGGCTTGAGCACTTCTTTTTTTTTTTTTTGAATTGGAGTCTTACTCTGTTACCCAGGCTGGAGTGTATTGACATTACCATGGCTCACCACATCCTTGACCTCCTGGGCTCAGGCGATCCTTCCGCCTCAGCCTCCCAAGTGGCTGGGACTACAAGCATAAGCCACCATGCCTGGCTAATTCTTTGCATTTTTTGTAGAGATGAGGTCTCACTATGTTGCCTAGGCTGGTCTCAAAACTCCCGAGCTCAAGCAAGTCTCCTGTCTTGGCCTCCCAAAGTGTTGGGATTACAGGAGTGAGCCACTGTGTTCAGCCTAATCACTTCTGTTTTCTGTCCCTTCAGAGAGCTGAGGGCCCTGGTCATTGAAATGGTATTGGCCACAGACATGTCCTGTCATTTCCAGCAAGTGAAGACCATGAAGACGGCCTTGCAGCAGCTGGAAAGGTGGCACCTGGTGGCAGGAAGGCGGGGGAGTGGCTGGGACCAGGCCAGAGGGAGGGATGTGTGACCTGGGGGTGTGCACATGCGTTGCTGGTGGGCCAGGTCTCCATCTGGATGTAGGCTCTCCTGGCTCCGGGTGTTCGAGTGCAGCCTTGAGGACGTGTGCACGACGCGTGTGTATACGCAGCCTTGGGTTTACGCACAGTTGGGGCGGCTGGTCTGCTGGAGAGTGCTGTGGGCTGGAAGCCTGCGATGGGGCTTCTCATCACACCTTTAGGACAGGCTTGTTCTGGGATGTTGGAACATTCATTCAACCCTTTTGGACTCCAGTTTCGCTCCCTGTGAGATGGTGAAAATGATATGCCTTCCTCCACGACAGCTTGCCACTAGTTCCTACTCGAATAGGGCTCTTGGGAGAGTCATGGGAGGCAGAAAAAAAAAAAAAAAAGACAGTGCAGACCAAATGCCATAATTACTTCTAAGGCTGCTCAGAAGTGGGCGGAAGTATATAAATGTGTGTCGATGAGAATGGACTGTGTCTGTGTGTCCTGAGGGTGTGTGCTAGTGTGTGTGTGTGTGTGTGTGTGTGTGTGTGTGTGTGTGTGTGTGTGTGTGAGTGTGTGCAGTGTCACAGTGGGTCACTGATGGGAGTATAATAACAATTATTTTTGTCATAAATAGTATCTACCGAGCACTGACTGTGTGCCAGACATCCTTCTAAATACTTAGATGTTGTATGCTGTCTCATTCTCAGGACAACTTGATATGTGGTGGGGTTTTTATTTCCGTTTTAGGTTTGAAGAAAATGAAATATGGACATTTTAAGTCACACAGCTCGTGTGGGGTAGGCTTGTGGGGATTTGAACCTGGGTCCTTTGGTTCTAAGACCCTGGGTTCTCAGCTACTAGCCTGTGCTGCGTGTGTGTGTGTGTGTGTGTGTGTGTGTGTGTGTGTGTGTATAGCTCTGGAGGGTGTCTGAAGTTATGTGAAGAGATATGCGTGGGAAGTCAGGGGACGGCCCAGCTTTCCTTTTCCTCAAAGATCATGTCCCTTCCCTCGCCACCCGCCCCGCCCAGGATTGACAAGCCCAAGGCCCTGTCTCTGCTGCTCCATGCTGCTGACATCAGTCACCCGACCAAGCAGTGGTCGGTCCACAGCCGCTGGACCAAGGCCCTCATGGAGGAGTTCTTCCGCCAGGTAGCGTGGTGTCTCTGCCCACCCCCTGCCTATGGGAAGCTCTCTCCCAGGTCCCTGCTTTTTCTCCAGATCTACATCTGCCATGTGCAGCCTCTTCCCCGATAAAGCTGCACTTTCCTAAGAGCTGAGAGATACTTGCCTCCACTGGCATGTGGCTCATCTCAAGGGCAGAGAGGACTCTTTCCCCCTGTGGCAACCCCCAGCATCTCCAGCCGCACCCCAGGGCTGGTGGGTCTGAGGTCTCTTCTCCAGCGTCCCCACCCTGTCCTCTCTCCCCCAGGGTGACAAGGAGGCAGAGCTGGGCCTGCCCTTTTCTCCACTCTGTGACCGCACGTCCACTCTGGTGGCGCAGTCCCAGATTGGTGAGTGTCCTTTCCTGCAGGGAGGACTGGGGAGGGGAAAGGATGTCATCTGGGCCTAGGCCAGGATGACCCCACATCCCTCAGCCCCTCGAACTCTTCTTCCTGTTGAAGCAAGAATGGGGTGTGCTAGGGCGTGGCGTCCCAGGGAGGGAGGTTGGGGGCCTGCAGTAGTGGGGAGGGATTCCCCAGGGTAACCAAGGCATCACCCCAAAGCCTGCCTCCCCCGGGAGGTTTCCAGCCCTAGGCCACCTCTCCACCTGTGTTACACGCAGCCAGGGTTCCTGGCCATGCTGGCCGTGCCCTCGCCCAGCCTTCAGGTGAGAGTAAGTCATCGCTTTCCCCCTCTGCTGCAGGTTTCATCGACTTCATTGTGGAGCCCACGTTCTCCGTGCTGACTGATGTGGCAGAGAAGAGCGTCCAGCCCCTGACGGATGAGGACTCCAAGTCTAAGAACCAGCCCAGGTGAGCCAGATGGCCTGGTCCTCATGGGGAGGAGGCCCAGGTGTGGCAGGGTTGGTGGGAGGCTGGCTGCTCCGGACTTGGCAACCTCCTGCTGCTGGCCATGCAGTCCGGCCCAGGGAGTGGGGCCAGATGGGTGTGACCTGCACCTTGGCCCCCTTCACTGTGTTCTTGTTTCTTCCTTCAGGTCTGTCTGTACTTCCCTTTGGCTAATCTTGTGTTTTATTTATTTATAGAGTTTTTTTTTTGAGTTGGGGTCTCACTCTGTCACCCAGGCTGGAGTGTGGTGGTGCCGTCGCCACGGTCACAACTTCCCAGGCTTAGGCAATCCTCCCGCTTCAGCCTCCTGAGTAGCTGGGACTACAGGCATGAGCCACACCGGCTAATTTGTGGATTTTTTTTTTATAGGAACATGATCTCGCTATGTTGCCCAGGCTGGTCTTTAACTCCTGGGCTCAATTGATCCTCCTGCCTCAGCCTCCTAAAGTGCTGGGATTACAGGTGTGAGTCACCACACCTGGCTCCTTTGGCTGATCTTGTTTTTATTTTCCTTCCACCTGGAGGAAAGGTGTGGAGAGGATGGGTGAGGCTAGTGGGAGAGGGACAGAGACTTGGGGGGGTATCTAGCAGAGTGAAAAGAGGAGAAGGATGAGGCTCCCTGAGCCTTCTCCTAGTCTTCCAGCTCTGCCACTTCAAGGGGTTTGTTTTTGTTCATTTGTTTTTTTGAGTTAGAGTCTCACTCTGTTGCCCAGGCTGGAGTGCAGTGGCATGCTCACGGTCACTGCAGCCTCGACCTGCTGGGCTCAGGTGATCCTTTCATCTCAGCCTTCCAAGTAGCTGGAACTATAGACATGAGCCACCATGCCCAGCTAATTTTTTTATTTATTGTAGAGATGAGGTCTTGCCAAGTTGTCCAGGCTGGTCTCCAACCCGTGAGCTCAGGCCTCACCTTGGCCTCCCAAAGTGTTGGGATTATAGGCGTGAGCCACCGCACCTGGCAACTCCAGGGGCTTTGAAGGTGGTTCTGGAGTGGGCTGGGTCTTACCTGTGGGGCTGGGTGGGGGGATCCTGCTTCTAGCTTCCAGTGGCGCCAGCCCTCCCTGGATGTGGAAGTGGGCGACCCCAATCCTGACGTGGTTAGCTTCCGCTCCACCTGGACCAAGTACATTCAGGAGAACAAGCAGAAGTGGAAGGAACGGGCAGCAAGTGGTGGGTGCCATGGGGGAGTGGGGCAAGCCCCACAGGAGGCTGGCGTGGTGGTAGCAGACCTGTTTTTCTTAAGCCCTGGAGGCACCCTTTGTTGAACTCCTAGATTTGGGAATGGAACTGATCAGCTAAAGTTAGGCTGCAGGAAAGACTGCCTGATGGGATGGCCTGGACTGTTCCAGAATGGGGGCTGGAGAGGGGAGAGAAGGACAGGGTTAATATTCTACAAGCCAAGCGACCCTGGGCACATTGTGGTCTCTGCATGGGGCACCCCTGTAGACTTGGGTAACCTGGTGGCCCTGACTGGGAAATCTCCTCCTTTATGGGGGACTGAGGGCTGGGGGTTTTAGCAAAGCTGGGAGCCGCTTCCTTCGTGGGCACAGGTGAATGCAGCTGAGCTTGGAGGCAGGGGACGACTGAGGATCCCTGCCCTTCCTCCACATATTCCTTGGGTTCTGGGGAAGAACCCTTCTTGGTCCACACCCTTCCGCAGGGATCACCAACCAGATGTCCATCGACGAACTGTCCCCCTGTGAGGAAGAGGCCCCACCCTCCCCTGCCGAAGATGAACACAACCAGAATGGGAATCTGGACTAGCCATGGGGCCGGCCCGGTGAGCTTGCTGGGTCAGAGGGAGCAGAGAGCGAGTTGTCCATCATGGCGTCTCGGACGGGTCCTCTCTGGGGTCCTGTGGGTGTGAGCCTCTCCCTCCCTCTTTCAAGCAGTCAGATGGAGGGAGTGAAGGCAGAACTGAGCCAGAGTGTGGGTGGGAAGCAGGGAAATCTTCCCAGCCTCTCTGTCCCATGGTCTGCAGGAAGAAGGGAGGCAGCCCCTCAGAATGGCAGGGGAGCAGGGTGGTGCCTGCACCAGGTGACAGCCAGCCCAGGCAGCACCCCAGTGAGGGCTGGGAAAGGAACCTGGCCAGGGCACAGGACCATGAGGCCGTTGGCGTGATTTGGATTTCAGCCCTCACTGATGCCTTGGCCAGGAACCCTTTGGAAGGGGCTTCTTTTGCACAACTGTACTGGGGACTGGGTGGGGATCAGGACTTGGAGATGGAGGATCAGGCTGGAGTGACGGCCAAGGTCGGGGCCTTAAGGTCTCTCCCTCTTCCCAGGTCCTCATTGATTCAATGTCCGATGTCATCAGCACCATCCATCAGGACTGGCTCCCCCATCTGCTCCAAGGGAGCGTGGAGGTCATGGAAGAGACCACCCACCCGAAGGCCAAATGCCAGAGATTTGGGGTTGGGGAAGGGCCCCTCCCCACCCGACACCCATTGGGGTGCATTTTAATGTCCCAGCAGCAAGACTGGGGAGCTTCAGGCTCCTAATAGTCACTGTGCCCGTCCCCCAGCCTCTGGACTCCCCCCTGTGGCCAGATGGCTGCCTGGGAGGGGGTGGGCTTCCCAGAGCCTGGGGGGAGGGTCGGAGATGCCAGCCCCCTTGGCCCTCCCCCATCCTTCTTGCCTCCAAGTTTCTAAGCAATACATTTTGGGGGTTCCCTCAGCCCCCCACCCCAGATCTTAGCTGGCAGGTCTGGGTCCCCCTTTTCCTCCCCTGGGAAGGGCTGGAATAGGATGGAAAGTTGGGGGTCTTCAGAGCCCTATGTGCGGGAGAGGAGTGGGTTCCTTCAGGGCCTGGTATCTTTCTGGAACCTTTATAGGACCCGGGAGTGGGGTGGGCAGGACAGCCTCATCACCCCAGACTTGCACTCTTCCGCTCCTCCCCAGCCTGACCCTTGCAACCTCCCTCTCCGGTTCTGAGACAGTGGCTGGGGAAAAAAAGAAGAGCCATTGGGACCAGGGGCTGAGGGGAGGCCTTTCCTGGGACCCTCAGGAACTTGGTACTGGTCTGGGCCCTGGGGCCTGTCACCTGCCCTGGCTGAGCTCCGAGCCTTTGCCTCCTCTCCTCTCCTGGGGCTGGGAGGTCTCATCCGACCAATGTCTGTAAAGTGCTTTGAGGTCTCCCCAGCAAAGCACCTGCAGGAGAGACCAGCTGGGTCAGGGTCAAGGGTGCGGGGGGAGGGTGAGGTAGAACCCAGTAATCCTGTGTTGTCGACAGAGGGTCCGTCCCCTCCCTCCATCTCCCAGGACTGGCCCAGAGGTAGGCACCAAGAGGCTCCTCCCTTGGGGCGGTGGGAAGTGTAATGGGTGAGAGGCAGGTGGAGGAGGGGCTCAGGGCTGCTGCTGCCATGTCCTCTGGCGAGAGCCCAGCTCAGCCCAGCCCAGTGCTCCGTCCCCTCCTCAGGCTCCTCTTCCCCACCCCCTGCCGTGCCCCAGGAAAGGCTAGAGTCCAGGTGACTGCCCTTGTCCTTCCTTGTAAATACCAACCATACATTTGTACAGTGGGCCCTGTTCGTGTGAAATCCATACCCATGGTCCCTTAGACCGGCCACCCTGACACTTCCTCCCACCCCACTGTGAGTGGGGCAGAGACGCATGTGACTCACCCCTGCCCTTGGTCTCCCAGACCCCTGCTATAGCCAGAGATCAATAAAGACAGGAGACTGGGCCTGGCTGTGTTTGGTGTTCACTGGAGGAGGCTGACGGAGCGTCTTCACGTATGCCATCTTGATGAAGTCCTGGGCGAGGTGTCCTCCACCCACCCTAGAGGGATGTGGCCTTGCCCAGGGCACATGGCAGGCACAGGGCATGAGTTTCTCAGGCTCTGCTTTTCCCAGCATCATGCCGCCACTTCCGCAAAGAGGGGGACGAATCTTGCCCTCTCTCCCCTGCTTGCTTCTGGGAGAATCAGAGGCAGCAGGAAAGCCCTGACCATGAGGGCTGAGGATGTTTCCTCACGTACGCTTGGTTTCTGTCTTATGTGGGTCCCTCAGTGTCCAGGACCCAGGGAGAGATGACCTTTCCAGTTCCCCCCAAGCGCCTCTTCATCAACAGCTACTGTTTTCTCTACCTACTGATGCTAATGGGCTGGGATGAGGGACAGTGGTCTCGCTGAAGGAGGGAAAACGTGCTGAGGCTCAGGAATCCAAGAGGAAGGCAGCTGAGGCTAGGAGGCGGGTGTGTCCACACCATGGCCCAAGTGACAGGGAGCAGTTTCCCTGTTGGCCAGCAGATGGCGCACACAGCACAGTCACGGCAGGACACGCTCAGACCTTAGACCATCTTCCAGCTGCGGGTCAGGCCTGCTAGGTGGTTGGATCTTTCCTCCATAAAAAGAACCTGGAGGCCAGGTGCGGTGGCTCACGCCTCTACTCCCAGCACTTTGGAAGGCGAGGAGGGAGGATTGCTTGAGCTCAGGAGTTCGAGACCAGCATGGGCAATATGGTAAGGCCTTGTCTTTACAAAAAAAAAAAAATCAAAAAATTAACTGGGCATGGTGAACTCCTGTAGTCCCACCAACTCAGGAGGCTGAGGTGGAAGGATCGCCTGAGCCTAGGAGGTCGAGGCTGTGGTGAGCGTTGATTGCAGCCTTGGTGACAGAGTGAGACCCTCAAAAGAAAAAGAAAAAAGTACCTGGACCTTTTCTTCCTTCTTGGCACCCTGGAAGTTAGTCCTCCCACTTATCAGACCCCATCTCTCTTCCCACAGCAAGTGAAGGCAGGGCTAGGGGAAGAACTCCCTCCTTCTCAAGGCTTCTGCCTGGCTTCCCTATTTTCTCCTTCCCAGAGGCCGCTGGGCAGGGTGTGGGGGCTGCAGAGGGCAGGAAAAAGGGGAAGGAGAAAGCGTTCTCCAAGCAAAAGAAGAAAAGTGCCAAGGGCCTAACACCAAATTTATCACTTTTTAAAAACAGGAGATTTTCCCAAAAGTGAAGAAATAAGAAACAGATCCAGTGTCCATGCATTCCGAGCGGCAGTCTTGACTCCAGGAAGGTGCCTCCTCTTTCAGACCTGTGAGGGAGGGGCCAGAAAGAGAAGGTGAGAGGTCAGGCGGTTATTTTGTCCCCTGCCCTGCTGGCCATCCCAGGTGTCAAGCATCTGACATCTCAGAAAGCTTGTTCTGATGTCTGATGGCACTCTCTGACAGGGGAAATGAGGACTGTAGACATCCAGCTTCAAAAAGTTATCTTGTCAGGGTGTCTGCCTCTGGGCAGGGAGAGCCCTGTCCACCTTGCTTGAGCAGGTGAGGTTCTCCCTTTGGACTCCAAATGCCCTTTATCAAAAGAACTCATGACCTAATTCTATCATCCATTGCTATACAACGTCCTACACAAGGTCTAACTTCAATCCTTCCTGCTGCAGATCATCCCATTTCTCTTTGTCAGAGGAGACAGAAGTCCTCTGACCTTAAAGGCTAACTTTTCAGTGACTGATGCTGGCTCTTTGTTTGCTTTTTCCGGACTCCATCTATCAGCCCTCGCCCTCATCCACACTGCCCAGGGTCTTACCGAGTGGGCTCCCTGGGAATCCAGTGGCGGTGTGTGGGCTGAGGGCTCCTCTGTGCTGGGCTTCTCACTGGCCCTCTCCTGAGTTCTAGGGGTGGATTCTGCAGGCCCTGAGGAGGGAAATGGGTGGTGGGAGAAAGAGGCACCATGTATGAAGGCCTGTGAGGGAGGGGGCCGCTGCTTCCCGCCTCGTACTCCCCAGGAGCCCCAAGAGGGCCCAGGACCAAGTAGGGTACAGTTGGGCAGGACCATCAGGGGTTTCTCTGATCACGATGGCTACTATAGGGTCACTGTGTTTAAAAAAATCTGCCATCAAATAGAAAAAGAAAACCCTCTAAAAAATGGCCAGCCTGTAATCCCAGCACTTTGGGAGGCAGAGGTGAGAGGACTGCCTGAGTCCAGGAGTGTGAGACCAGCCTGGGCAACCTGGCGAGACATCGTCTCGACAATAAATCAAAAAATCAGCTGGGGCTGGGCTCAGTGGCTCAGCCTGTAATCCCAGCACTTTGGGAGACCAAGGCAAGTGGATTGTCTGAGCCCAGGGTTCGAGACCAGCCCCGGTAACTTGGTGAGACCCCCATCGCTACAATTAAAAAAGAAAAAATTAGCCAGGTGTGGTAGTGCATGTCTGTAGTTCTGGCTATTTGGAAGGCTGAGGCGGAAATATCGCCAGAGCCCAGCAGGTTGAGGCTGCGGTGGCTGGGAGCATGCCACTGCACTCCAGTCTGGGTGACGGAGTGAGACTCCAACTCAAAAAAAAAAAAAGAAAATCAGCCGGGCGTGGCGGCATGCACCTATGGTTCCAGCTAGTTGGAAGGCTGAGGTGGAAGGATCACCTGAGCCCAGCAGGTCAAGACTGCAGTGGCCATGAGCATGCCACTGCACTCCAGCCTGGGTAACAGAGTGAGACTCTGACTCTAAAAAAAAAAAAAGTTAAAAAAACAAAATTTGGGTACAAACTCAATGTGTGTCTAAACCTGACCCGAATGGAGAAGAGGCCGTTTGGAATATTCATCTCGCTTGGACTGCAGCAATATTCATGCGTGTGATTACAGGGCTCTCTGCTGGGGGTATCATGCAGTACACAGTGTACAGACTGTATCCCCTTCATAAAACTGGAAAAATTCTGAACTCCGGATGGCAGCTAGGAGAAGGCACCGTGGACATGCTGCCCGCTTTCATTGACTGCGGGCTTTGTCTTGTTGGGGGCCGTGCTAACAGCAGGTCTCACTTCATAGTCACACACAACCCATGAGACAGACCCCCTATAACCATCTTATAGACTCTTGGCTGGTGATAGCAAAGTGGCACAGCCAGAATTCCAGCCTGTGAGCGCTGTGCCCAAGAGGGTGGGATTCCCCCACAGCCCTGTGCAGCCACAAGGGGGCTCTCTGAGGTCCGAGCTGGGAGGGCTTGGTGTCATCCTGTCAGGAAAGGATGCTTCACACGTGTGCATGGCAGGCAAATCGCTCCACATCCCGCTGTGGTTCTTGGCAACGACCAGGCCCCTCCCGGCTCCGACTCCTCCCCTCCCTACGGGTAAGGTTTGCCTCCTGCCAGGCTGGGAACAGGGATGCCGGGGCCCTTCCCAGCCTGAACATACTTTGTGTGGTCCCAGAGGCGCCCAGCCTTGATGCCGCTCCTGTGCCCGCAGTCCCAGGTGGGCAGGACTCCTGGGCCCCCGCGCTCTCGCTGGCTCCCTCGGGCTCCTCTCCTTGCTGCTGTTGCCCTAGGTGATGTTCAACCATCATCTGGAGCTCTGGCGGCACAGAGGAAGGAGGGGACATTGGACATGGCTGTCCAGAGTCACCCCTGTGTACCCTCAAGTGCAACAGCCCCGCTAATGGGTCAGCACACATTGCTGGGTGTTTTGTTTTTCAGCCCCTGAGATCTGAACAAGGACGGTTCATTAGCTGGGCAATACGAAGGACAAAAGCTAGACTATAAAAAGTACTTCCGCCCACTCATCAGCAGACCTTGAACAATTATCATAATACTATAAGAAAGGGATTGGCAGTCGTGAGAAACTGCCAGGGGAGGGGGGGTGGGATTGGCAGTTGAGGGAAATTGCTTGGGGACAGAGGGACATACCTCGTCAACAAGGGTACCTGCATAATCAACGTCTGTATACCTAACCCTGAATTGTTCCTTACATCTTTAAAAAAATAAAAAAAGTTAAAAAAAGAGTACTTCTGGCCAAGCACAGTGGCTTATGCTTGTAATCCCAGCAATTTGGGAGGCCGAGGCAGGAGGATCTCTTGAAGTCAGGAGTTTGAGACCAGCTTGGGCAACATAGCAAGACCCTGTCTTTGCAAAACACACACACACAAATGTAGCCAGGTGTGGTGGTGCACACTTGTAGTCCCTGCTACTTGGGAGGCTGAGGTGGGAGGATCCCTTGAGCCCAGGAATTCAAGGCTGCAGTGAGCTATGATCCCACCACTTCACTCCAGCCTGGTTGACAGAGAGACTCTGCCTCTTAAAAACAAAATAAAAAACAGAGGAAAAGTACTTTCACAGGTAAGAGAAGGGTAGGGAAGAGCTTTTAAGAACAAAAGATATGCCAGGCACAGTGGCTCATGCCTGTAATCCCAGCACTTTGGATGATCGAGGACCAAGGATGAAGAGGATTGCCTGAGCCCAGAAGTTCGAGAATAGCCTGGGCAACATACAACACTTCATCTCTACAAAAAAAAAAAAAATTAAAAAATTAGCCAGGCATGGTGGTGCACACCTGTAGTCCCAGCTACTTGGGAGGCTGAGGTGGGAGGACTGCCTGAGCCCAGGAGGTTGAGGTTGCTATGAGTTATGATTGTGCACTGCATTTTAGCCTGGGCCACAGAATAAGACTCTGACTCAAAAAATAAATAAATAAATAAAAAATAAAAAAGTTACTCCTCACTTGTTGGGAGACAAGGTCTCCCCTGGGAGGTAGAAAGAAGGACTCAATTTAGATTCAGGAAATATTTGAGGACCCTAAGGTGCCATTCACTGTGCTGTGCTCACATATGCTATTTTATTTGCCCTGACACGAGGCAGTATTCAGGGCTCAGGAGATTAAGCAGTTGCTCCAAGGCCTCTGAGCTGGGCAGGGCAAAGCTGGGGTTCCATCACCAGCTCCACCAGATGAAGGCAGATGGACTGACCTCCCTGCAGAGGGGTCAGCA